TTGGTCATTCATCTACGCATCTTCATCAATCTACTCCTTTTTATTGGCTCTTAATGAGACATACTTCTGGATTAATTCCATTTCCAGAAAGGCTGGCTGCATATGGTGGAAATACAAGAAAACGCAAGTTACGAGAAGCCATTGATATCCTGACTCAAAAAACTAATAAACAGGAGACTTGAAGGAGGCAGGATTATGGAAAACTTTGCATACTACTTAAGCAAACTCAAAGAAGCAATATCAGAAAAAAGAAGACGACCTTGTTTTCGCAACTTGGTCATATTGGTAGAAAGACTTCGAGGAACGCACCTAGTCCGGAGTCCATTGTATGCATGATAATTTCCAAAGTCGGACAGTGGACGTGGTACATTCCCAAACGTTTTGCTGCCATCTTCAGTGAGTCTTGCCATTCTTAGCACCATAGTACAACTCGTCAAAAATACAAGTGAAGCTTACCCTCGACCAAATGTGTACTAAACAGTTGTGGTATCTCTTCTTCTGTCAGAGGCTATTCACCTCTCCTATATCCTCATGTCACGCCTTCACTATCACCATTTTTCTTTGCTTATTAAAATCTTGTGTTGTGTGCCTTTTGAGCGGCTTTTATGAGAACCCTCCACACTCCACGCTGGCGTTCTCATCCCCATTCACCCTTGTGCTGGGAATGATGATCAGAGTCTGCGATATTGTTACGCAGTCCTTCCCTACGTCTTATCAGAGTCTTACTCTTGTCCCGTAGGATCCGTCTGTAATCTCCATAGTTCAAGTATTCTACTCGACTTCTGTCACTCCATCTGTGCTACTCGAGGCTTTATTACCCATCCCCTCCGTCTGGGTGGCTAATTCTAGGCTAAAGCCTCTGAGTAATTCTTATGGTTAAGCCTTTTCTACCTGGACCACGTCTATGGTAAAGCAGGCTTACTGTCAGCCAATTAATTCCACTCCCCGCCGCGTCTATCTTGTTTCTATCCATAATAACAAGTCTATTACTTGCTATGCCCTAGTCTTTTGTGTGCCAACCAACAAATTTTGTGGTACTGCTTGTTTTGATTAGGCTCAATGTTGAACTACAACGTTTGTTGGTTGGTATACAGCGAAAGGAGACTACGACTACACAAAAGGCCTCACCATCTTGGTCGCTATTTTTTTTGGCTGATGGCAAGTTCTTATTGACTTCAATATAAGTAGCTTTCGATAATATCGATAGTTCGTGAATAAGAATTTAGTCACCCTAGGTGGCTTGAGGTAACTTACGGATTGATCGTTGAGTTTTTCTTATCGTAAGATCTGATAATTTACTTATAAGAAAAAGTCATCTATCAATCCTTAAATTACCTTAAACGACCTATGAAGACTAAGTTATTGGTTTTTATTGAGACAATTTTGGGCAAATTTTTATTCCATAGGTCAGCGAACTCCATGAAAGATTTTGTGGGAATGATCCGTATGCTGATTTCACCATAACCCGAGGGATAATAACATATGAATTAGAAATATTTAAAATAATTATATGGGATGTATTCACCCTATTTCGATTAAGGTTATGAAGGACTAGTAGTAGAATTTTCCCACAATGATATGAGTAGAGCTGACGTTTCCATTGAATTTCTCAGAGCCTTGCTTTCTCTGAAGTTGTTGTCATTCAGGGTGGACGGCAGTTTCGACCTTTCATAGGTCTTATCAACACCCCAGCCTGAGTCGAATAGTGACAGTAAAACATGTTTGCTTGACACGTTATCCAATCGGCCACATTGCCACGGGTGCCCTTGGGTCACAAGGCAGATGTGAATCTCAATGAAGGTCAGACCTTTTCCCATATCACATTCTTTGTTGGGATTTTCTATGAAGCAAACCTATGTTTGCTGTTACGTTACTTATTTTTCTTATAAGTAGAGTGTCGAGACTACCAGTAAGTTAGTTATATGAGATGTATTCACCTTATTTCGTTTAAGGTGATGATGGATCTGGACTATTTACTGGTAGTCTCGAAACTCTACTTCTATGTGAAATAAGTAATTAGTCGATTTTTATAGCAAAAATGTATTTGCTTCATCGACAATCCCACCAAAGAATGTGTTCTGACAAAAGGCCTGGCCTTCCTTGAAATTCACATCTGCCCTGTGACCCAAAAGCACTTTTGGAACTTTGGCCGGGTGGTTAACGTGGCAAGCTCACATGCTGCACTATTACAGTTCGACTCCCGCTGTGTGTGTTGATAAGACCTATGCGAGATCGAAACTGCTATTGACCCTGGATGAGAACGACTTTTGGGGAAGCAGGGCTCTGTGAAATTCAATGGAAACATCGGCTCTACTTATATCATTGTGGAAAAATTCTACCACCAGTCCTTCATCACATTAAACTAAATAGGGTCAATGCATCTCATTTAACTGATTTACTGGTAGTCTTGAAACTCTTCTTATACGAAAAATAAGGTCAAACAACTTCTATACAGCGAAAGTAGACCGCGACTTTACAGGAGGCCACACCATCCTGGTCTTCATCTCTTCAATCACAACTATTGGAACAACACCATTTGGGGGTTAGCACACAAAGACTAGGGCATTACAC